TTGTATCGCTTGTTTTCTTAAAACAATATATAATATATACGATTTTGGACTGTTTATTTATTGTATCAACAGAAAGTTACTTTTTGGTTTGCTTTGAAGTACATTGGTTTTCGTGAAATTCTGCCATTGCTTCATCTATCTCATCCATGACGTCTCTTAGATATAAGTATAAGTACTTGTAGTCGTCCATTAAGCCTTCCTTAATCTTACCTGGGTAAGCCTTACACATCGCCCTGTACTACTCAACTTTTGCCAAGATTTCTTCATCGGATGGGTGTGGAGAGAATTCTGTGTGGCTTACTGATATGGAGATGAATGTTTTATGATAAAGAGAGAGAGAAAAAGTTTTGTGTAGCATTTAATATTTATACACTCTGTTGTGCTTACAGCTTTATTCTACGTCAGAGGTAAACAGTGAAGCCATATTTTGATCGTTTGAATACTAGAAGACAATGCTGTAATGGTTACACGGTCGCCATAGCGACGAAAAAGCGTTATGGACAGATGGATATATCGAATGCGTAAAGAGACTGTGAAGGAAAGAAAGGAGGAGGAGATTGAAAACATTTCCTTTTTTATGAGTTATAAATCGTAAAACTGAAGGATTTTAATAAATAGATGAAATTAATTTTTTGTTTAAAAAAATAATTTCTCAACCCCTATATAATTCCTAACCCCTAGGTTTATTCTCAACCATTAAGTTTAAAACACTCTAAGTGGCGCAACAGTAGTGAGTAAATCCCTTCTCTAGTCGAGGAACACCTGGACAAAGGCTAGCTTGATAGTGAAATCCTTAACTAAAAATTAATTTACTATTTAGAGTAAAATTAATTGTTATGGATTGAGCCTCTGGTGGTGGTAATATTGTAGGGCGTCAACATTACATCAACACCACCATAGGGGTGCTTCCTATTTAAATATAAATTATAAGAGAAAATTTATTTTCCTTATAATTATATTTATCCTAATATAAGCTAATAGAAATATTTATGTTTTAATTATTTATATGGTCCCACAGCAGTAGTGAGGATAGGGCCATGTAGAGGAGTGGGGGTGTTGGTATGTGGTGTTGGTGTACCAACAATACTATACACCTTTGTTCATCAGGAGCCTCCTGAGTTTGAATAATATATAAAGTTAGCTCCCGAAGGAAGCTTTTAACCCTCAAAGGGTAACTTTATATATGGTGGTGAATGGAATGAGCCATTAGGGGGGTAAACCCTAGTTTTATGTTTTTGGTAAAATTATATAAGTAATATAATTTTTAAGTATTTATAATAAATTATGAAATTAGTTTTTTGTTTAAAAAATTAATTTCTCAACCCCTATAAAATTCTTAACCCCTGGGTTTATTCTCAACCATTAAGCTTAAAACACTCTAAGTGGCGCAACAGTAGTGAGTAAATCCCTTCTCTAGCCGAGGAACACCTGGACGAAGGCTAGCTTGACTGTGAAATCCTTAACTAAAATTAATTTACTTTTTAGAGTAAAATTAATTGTTATGGATTGAGCCTCAGTCCAGATGACCTGGTGCACAGACCCTTTGCTTTGCTTAGGCTTTCACCCAAAAACTACTATACAACATATCACAACTGATATGGGGTAGAAATGCCATTATTGAAATGTCTGTCTTTAATTCAAGATCAGAAAATGAGTAAAGAGAAAATAAGGTAGAGGAAAGAACAAGGACGAATCTTTATTCTTGTAGCAATACTGCCAACTCCATCTGGTCCAGACCCACCATATAGACCTCTTCCTTCTCTCCTTACCAGCCTGCTCCTGCCTTACTTTAGTTTTTAAAACCTAGAAAGAATACAATATATTGTGTTTTTGTCAAATTTGTTGTATGTTCTTCATAATATTTTGAAAGTTGCTATACCTACAAGCTATCGTTTTATACCAGATAAGGTTTCTTCAGTAGACACTGAAAATATATAGGGAAATATAACAGAAAAAATAGGAATAGAGAGAGAAAGATAAATGGACTTAGAGGTAAGTATATATAATAGAAAGGCTTGGTATTCAATTGTTGTTTATTTCAGGCCATTAATTGAGGCCTTTTTATAACTGAAATATGAAATAAAATACTACTAAATGCAATCAAGACAGAATCAGTGATAATATGTGTGTGAAGAGACAACGAAATAAAGATAAATAAAGATAAATATGAATAAGAAAAGAAGTGTTAAGCAAACCATCACTGATAAAGGAAATATTAAAGGTGATATATTAAATCAATAGGAACGATGGTAGAAGGGATGTGTGTAAGAGAACAGGCTGGGACTAGGAGTATTTTTTAAATGAGGGATGATCGTTAAACCCATTCATCCTCAGCAAAACCAATGGACTGGACTATTTTTCCAGTCCGCCTATATTTCTACTAGGCAGGCCGTTCAATATTTTATTAATTTTCTTATTTTTAATTTATTTTATATATTTAGTTATTAAGTTTTATTTTTAAATAATAGATAATGATCAATATAATTAGGGGTGGTTAGAGAAAATCTTTGATTTTAGATGATGTGGGTAGCTGGTTATCGAGACGGTAGTTGAGACCCTAGAATAACGGTAGTTATTCCAAACATTTATCTACAAATGCCTCATAAACAGTGTTCTAGGGTGGAATTTCCTGCTTTTCAAGAGATCTTATTAATACTAACACGGAACTTTCTTCTGCTACTACAAAAACACAGTACCTAACTAGCTCAATTGGCAGAGTGGATATTATGCACATTGAGTTAAAATCCCGATTTGATTTGAAAGTCAGTCAGCTCAATATGTTGTTGAGGAACACTAGCTAACTGCTTGCATTCACAATCACAAATCAGAAAGAATTGTTTCAAATTTAGATCTGTTTAAGAAACATAGGCCAACCTCTGAATTATAGAAGAAAGAGAAACGAAAAAATGGAGTATCTCTAAGGAGAGTAATTCAAATCCTCTGGATTTCTAAGAACTCCCAAAAAAAAACTCTTTTTGACAACAACAGTCACTTCTTGGCGTTGCCACAAGATTTCCCTCTGTCACTACAAAAACACAGCGCCTGGCTAGCTCAATTGGCAGAGCGTGAGACTCTTAATCTCAAGGTTGGGGGTTCGATCCCCCCGTTGGGCTTTCTTATTCATTAAATAGTAGTTTTCTTTTTATCATCTTAGAGCATGTCGTTGCCATAGTCTTCATGTAACACATACTCCTTTTTGGACTCTATTCCCCTTCTTTGATATACTTCTTGCTTGCTGCAGTCCACAGCTACTTTTCCTTTTGTCATACAGTCGATTATCACATCATTGCTTACTATACAGCTAATCCTTGTCATCATCAATTGTATATTTTTATATCATATTAATATTCATTATTACAGTAGTAGTTTAGATAAAACATATAAATATCCCCTTTCATCACATACAATAAACATCATCTATTAAGTTATCTTTTATTCTACTCTTATTCTTTTGTGATCTCTCTTTCTATTAGCTATAGTACTTATCTGCCAAAAAGACTTTAATAAGAACACCTAGCGGTATTACGTGAAACTATTTGCTTCAAAACTTGTGTAATAGATTTTGTAGTTTTCCAAACCCACCTTTTTTTAGCTATCTTGTCATACCTACATCCCCTCTTATATAATCCCTTCTCACCCTCTTTTCTGTTTCCTCAGATGTCTTTCACCAATTCATATTGTGGCATCTGAAGGAGTATGTATCACCATTATCACTAGGGAACCGCACGGTTCGGTTCGGTTCGGTTCGGTTCGGTTCTTAAAGGGAACCGAACCAAACCATCTAAAGCAAGAACCGAACCGACTAGAACCGACGAGAACCGTAGAACCGAAGAACCGAAGAACCGAACCGAAGAACCGAACCCATTATGTATATAAAAAAGGCAAGATTTGGTATCTTTAAATGAAAGCTGATGTGTGTGTTCAAATGTCGCAGTATACTTGAATACTGCAGTAAAAAAGAATAGTTTATTATTGTACATTGAACAGCGATCTCAAAATGAATAAGAGAAACAGAATGTAAACATTCTCATATGATGTGGGTCATTGCATGGTTATAAGATTGAAGCACAGTTTTTACAAAAAAAAGTGAAGCTTATAGTACTTACTTAGAGCGACTTAGTATTACTAGTACATGTTATCGTAACATTGGAGGAATTGAACCACAACCGGCAGTACATACAGCTGCTGTGTCTCTATGTGTATATAGTGTATAGTGTCTCATAAAAGGCAAAGGGTGAATGGGTAAGATAATTCTGTTATGAGCCCCAGAATGCGCAATCTCAAACGGAATGCACAAACTTGATAAAACTGATCGAGAAGCCATGATAAATCTAGTAAAGTAGTACGTCATGGAGAAAAATGCATTGTGGGTAGCAAAGTAGAGGAACAAGTAATGATGTGCGTCATGGGCGGAGAAAGCAAGCTGCCGTCAAAAGAAGTGTTTTTTTATTTTTTCTCTTCTCTTCTTTACTATTTTTTACTCCCTTCTGCTTTTGCAGGTTTTGTTAAGTTTTTCAATAAAGTATGGCTTGCAAATACACTAATTCGTGGTCTTTTCGGAATAACATTGTTCGTAACTTCCATTATAGCCTACTTAATACTAATTACCAAAATCGCTGATTGCAATCTTCTGCCTCTCGGTTCTTCGGTTCTACTTATACAGAACCGGTTCGGTTCCAGTTCGGTTCTTGACAAGAACCGAACCGTATTTTCTCGGTTTCGGTTCGGTTCGGTTCCAGTTCTACGGTTCTGATACGGATCCCTAATTATCACTCCCTTTATTATTTCATTGTTACTGAATATAAACCATGTAGCTGCAATAAACTATAAAAAAATCTAAGTGTCAGTAATCAGCTGACCTGTCGGACTCAAATCAAGAAGAATCATCATACCATTTTCCTATACAAAGAATAACAACATAATCACCTGTTGTTAATACTGTATAAAACTATATAAACCCCTCTCTTGATATATCAAATAAAGATTTCCCATATATACTATTATCATCATCTACTTCACATTTCTGTCTATTCTTGTATTCCATATTATATACTCTGAAGCTACATCTTACAATTGGTGGAGAAGCTAAAACCCTATTATGTCTGGTCATTCTCCAAATTCGAATCCCGTTGACCCAGTTGCCACTAACGCTCATCCCATTATTTCTGATACTTCTGCATCTGAAGCTTCCAGTCATGCCTATACCACACAAACCTATTCCCCATATTCGGCTCCCACACCCCCAGGTCGATCCCGTTCTGATGCTCCGTCTTCTGTCCTCACACTGGCAACTGTGTTCGTAAGACCTCCCCTTCCTACTCCCATTGACTCTGCCACCTTTACTGCTTCTATAACCATACCAAGATCCAGTTGTAATATTGCAGAATAAGAATAGATGCCTTTATTGTATACTGGGGATTGTGGTACTTATAAGGATTCAGGGAAGTGACTATCTTTGGGTTATGCTATACTATTACACTATCCCTCCCTCAGAAAAAAATTTCAATAACAAATGATTTTTATGAAGTTGTGCTTGATTTGCTGTTGTTGTTTTTGTTCGCTTATTAACTTCTGATTTGAGAGTAAAACTTGTGCCTTCAGCGTTGTTGGTTTTCACGATTTTCTATGGGCCAGTAAACTTTGGTTGTAGGAACTTCCATGTTTCCTTTGACTTGATTCATATGACTAAATCCCCAACCTTGAACGATGGTCTTTACCTCCTGCCGCGATCGTAATATTTCTTCTGTCTTGCTTGGGTTTTTGAATATTATTGCGTACCTTGTTGTGGAGGATGGGTAGATAGTGATTCAGATAGCTGATCCAAGTTTCTGTGTTGTGAGACTTCATTGGCGGGAGGTGTAATGCGGCTGTTGTTGGTAAAATCGGTTTTCTGCCATATAATATTTCGAATGGTGATTTCCTAGTAGATGCTTGCTTACTAGTGTTGATCGCGAACGTAACAAAGGGCAAGTAGTAGTCCCACATGTCTGGCTGATTCTCCACATAAATCGCCAATGCTGTTTTTATAGTTCTGTTATGGCGCTCTACCAAGCCATCTACTTGTGGATGCTCAATGCTTATGGTAGATCTTGACACTCTAAGGCGCTGACAGACCATTTGCATGGCCTCAGATACAAAGTTCGTGCCGTTGTTAGTAATAAGTCTTGTCAGAACTGATTGCTTTAGCACGGTTTCAAACAATAACACTTGAGCGATCAAGTTCGAATCAAATCCAGGCAAAGCTGCAGTTACCACCCATTTGGTTAGGTATTCAACAAATACGAGTAAGTAGCGATTTCCTCTAGCCAATGTTGGCAACACAGCAATGTCAGTGGCCCACACCTCTCTAGGCTGGCTAATAGGTATACTTATCATTTTTCCGAATTTTCGAGTTGGTGTTTCATGGCGTTGACATTCATAGCATTCTTGGATGTATTTGCTGACGTCGTCGTTCATGCCTTGCCACCATACATTTTGTTTCGCTCGATCTATTATCCGGTCGCGCTCAAGATGTCCAGATGTTGCATCTGAATGTATTGCTCTCATGAATTTGGTGCGTAGTGTTTTTGGCATCACAACAACGGAATTGTTGTTATAATTGATGCAATAGAGACTGTGATGCCACAAGATTCGTTTATCGTTTTCATTGATGTAGCTGTTGATTTCTTCATCTTCACGTTGATGCTGTAGCAATTCTTCCAGGCTGATGTCGACAGTGGATGCTTGTTGATTGTTGCATGCTCGACTTAAGGCGTCTACATGGAGATTATCTTTTCCTCGTCGGTAGGTGATGGTGAAATCGTAACTCTGTAAGGCCATGACCCAGCGTGTAATTCGTCCACTAGGAGATTTTGCTGTCATAATCGCCTTCAATGCGGCATGATTGGTATAGATTGTTAGCATAGCACCATGTACATAATAATGAAAATATTGGAGGCTCCAAACCACAGCTAATGCTTCTCTTTCGGTTATGCTCATATTGACCTCTGCTGGCATTAAAGTTCTGCTGGCATATGCAACAGGATGATGGCCTTAGCATAATACGGCTCCTAGACCAACATATGAGGCATCTGTATGCAAATCATACAGTATACTTGGGTCTGGATATGCCAGGGTGAGAAGATCCATCAAGCACTGCTTCAACTCCCTGAAAGCTTGTTCATGTTTATCTTGCCAATCCCATGTTGAGTCCTTGTACAGGAGCTTGTACAAAGGCGCCGCAATCTGAGCCAAGTTATCCAAAAATCGATGGTGAAATGCGCATATATCTAGGAATCGCTGGAGTTCCTTGACCTATGTTGGACTGCTCCACTTTGCTATGGCTTCTACTTTTGCTGGATCTGGATCAATACCAGTATGAGAAACGATGTAACCAAGAAACTTGACCGTAGGCACCTTGAATTGACACTTTCTGATGCTGATCTTTAGTGCTGCTTTGGCTAGGATCCTGAGGACGGTTGCGACATGCTCATAATGTTGTTCCTCCGTTTCCGAGCTGATAAGAACATCATTAATATAAACCATACAATAGGGTAGTTGACCCACCAAGTGTGATGAAAAAGGCTAATGAGCAATATAGGTCCCCCCCTAATCATAGATAGAGTCACGCATCGGATCTCAAATTGCACCAATATATAGTTCAGTATTTAAATCTTTATATCTCCAAGTTTCTAAGCCACAGCGCAAAAATTGCAAGAGAACTAGCCATTTGAAGCTAAGAGGTCACTTTTTGTAAAAGTTCACATCTTCTATTAAATAGAGCATGGTCCTTACGATTTCAATCCCAGCATAAAATCCAGATTTGGAAATTTCGATTTGTGACGGCCATGCTTTTTTAACGTTGCACGTTCCTGGGAGACTTGGGTAAACTTCAACTTTATGCCGTCTTCCTAGACTATTACCACATTGCATTTCTCAATATGAGCTCCGAAGAGGTGTGTTACTTGATTTCATCTGCCATCAATGACATTTGAGGTGTTTTTGTGAAAATCGTTGAGCATCTTTCACCATTCGCCAGGATTCTGACAAACTACTCTAAATAAGCTTCAAGTTTACTAACTAATTTTTTTCTGCACATTTCTCGACAAAGCAATCAACCGATCATGTCTGTTACTGTGGCTTAGATCGCAATGTGCTATGTCCAGTGCATTCTCGCAATGTTCGCTATAGAATAGGCAACATATGTTTTAACCATATATATTTAAATATTACTGCAGCAGCAGTTTGCTTACTTTGAAAGCTACGGATAGTTTGTTTCTGTAGACCCTACTGTGCCTACCTTTTGCGTCTATGGCTCGAGCACCCATCGTCGGCATAATCATAGAGAATGCCCACTTAACCCTATCAACCGCAGTACTGTCTACTTACTTATTTTAGGTGATAATGCAATTTTCGCTGAAAATTAGGGGTCGTCATTAACGGATTCGAAACGCATCGAGCGATTCTGAATCCGTTTCGTATAAAACGGATCAGCTCTTTTGCAATCCGAGTCCTTTTCATATAAATCTGGATCAAATCCGAAATCCGAGTATAGAGTGAAGTTTTGAATACAAATTACTGAAAAGTAAGCTTTAGATGGTACAAGGTAGCATTAGGTAAATTTAGCAGTAGTGAACATCAGAAAAAAAGAAGAGGATAGGGAAGAAGAAAAAGCAACTAGGGCATGGCTACTGGAAGAAAGTAATAAAGTAGTCGAACGATCAATGAGGCAATGGCACTAGCTGGGCTTTGAAATAATGAAAAAAAGGGAGGGAAAGGGAAGTAGTTTTTTATTTATAGGTGACCGTGGGTCAAGGGAAAGGGAAGTAAAAAAGGGAGGGTGAGTGCGAAGAATTACAGAACCGCTGTTTGTTTTCTCTAACACAACGTGGAAACGGCGAACAGCAACTCCTTCTTAATTTTCACCAAAATACTTAGACCACGAGTCGAGCAGCACACTTGCTTCCAGTTTGCTATACCCAAGCCGACTCCGTTCACTTGGGATGTATTGCTTGGCACGGGAGAAAAGCCATTCAGATCCTGTTGATGAGACTGGAATCGCAAATTATCGGCGTGCCATTTGCCTCAACTCTTGGCTACTGTTCACGTCCCTCCGCCAGAACTCCAAAACGATCGAAGTATACTCACCGTCGGACTCGTCGATTACTGTATCTATGGAAACATATCTTTCCAGCTGGTCCATGTTCGATCTCCTCTTCTTGATCAATGCATCCGGGTTTGATGGGGAAGGTTCTTGCGTTCTTGATGGCTTATATGTTTGCCACGTCTTCTGCACCATCTCAATAGCCTCCTCACAATACCCTCCCCAGTTCTCATCTTCCCACCATTTGTATTTTAATCGAGGGTCCATGGCAGTAGCAACGGCAAAAGAGTGACCTTGAGCCTTGCAGTAGTACCCTTTGAGCTTTTCCCAACTGCATTGTGTTGCGTGCACTAGCTCAGGCTACGTCTAACATATAAAGAAGTAGTCGTGTAAGTATGTGATAAATAGTGTTCGATGGAAATACGCATATATAAAGTAATAACCTACATCCTCCCATTTATCCATGTATAGTTCGAGCTTTTCAAGTAAAAGGTTGTAAGCAAAAATAACTAGGTTCATAGTTGCATAGCTAGCGCCAAACAGCAATGGGGTCATTCGGACGAACTCATAGAGTAACTCAGCCACCTTCTCCAGACATGTCCATTCGTCATCTGTCAAGAAGTATCCTTGAAGGGCCTCGAGATTCTGGCACGTCATATTGTATGCACACTTGACTGTAAGAGCTCTTTGGAGCAAGGTATATATGGAATTCCAACGAGTGCGAACGTCCAATACCAGCTCACGGCGATCTTCAATCTCGTCCTGATCTACGGCTTCGTCATTATCGTCAGTAGTTGGATGTTGGTGGGCAACGACCTTGAACGAGCTATTGTTACCCCGAGAACCACCTATAGCAAATAAACCAAACATACAAAAGAACCACACACTAAGCGGCAATCAGAATACAATACATAACTACCGCAGCAACCACAGCAACTCTACAACTCTCTTGCACCCCCTAATTATCAAAAGGAACAACTATAAATAGAACGAACCCTTTACTTTGTAAAGATTCGATGAACAGCTTGTTGAATAAGAGCATTACCGCAGCATCCGCAGTAACAGCAAGTTACCACAGCATTGGCGTTGCGCAGCAACCGCAGCAACCGCAGCATGAGTTATCTTAGACATTATTAAATAACCAGAAAGATATAAATACCCCATCATTTTTATTTGAATAAAGACATTGAATTTCTACCTCCCACTTTTGACTTAACTTTTCAAGTGTTGTTTTCAATCACTCAAGACCTAAACACGGCTTGTTTTATCTTACATATTGTTTATTGCTTATAACTGAAGCTAAATAAACTCTTCTATTAAGACCAGACGTAACATTCCTGCTCTTATTTCTCATTTACTTGGACAGACGTAACATTCCTGATCCTTATTCCTCATTCATTTT